TAAACATGTACTACATACATACTCTACAGTATAGTAAACATGTACCACATACATACTCTACAGTATAGTATACATGTACCACATACATACTCTACAGTACAGTATCCATGTACTATATACATACTCTACAGTATAGTATACATGTACTACATACATACTCTACAGTATAGTAAACATGTACTATATACATACTCTACAGTATAGTAAACATGTACTACATACATACTCTACAGTATAGTAAACATGTACTANACATACTCTACAGTACAGTATCCATGTACTACATACATACTCTACAGTATAGTATGTACATGTACTACATACATGTACTGTATACACATATACAACACTGGAAGATGTAACGCTTTTAAATTTAATTGGTATATCATAAATTTTGATTTTGATAAAACAATAACCAGTTTAAAAATTAATTGTGTGGAAAAAAATCTGATTTCGAAAGCAATAGAATATTTGATTTGTTGATATGACAGATTCCTTGATACAATGGTGATGCACGAAAATTACATGTACACATTGAAATCAGTTCGAAATTCGTGCAAATCAACCTAAGTATAGAATTTTATTTTTCTTCCAATTTGGTATGTTTATTACATGTATGTAGGAATACAAGGTAACTTACCAAGAGTGCATACGCCAAAGCCACAGCGTCCGTGGCATTGAGACCCACGTGCTGGAGCCGGATCTCGCGCTCCCGGAGTTGTTGTAAAATGAGACGGATTGGCGAGGAGCCTAGTATATGACACGCTTCTATGTATGATACATGGCCAATATCTACATTGTCCCTCCTCTCTTTGTTCTTCACTTCTTCATCTTTAATATAAATTAAAAAATAATACATATAAACTGTATTGTAGTACTGTTATTAAACATTACGTAATATCATGCAATTATATCGGTACCAGATCAATGGTCAATTAATGAACCTGATTCTAGTACGAACTGCACATGTTTAATGCCAAATGAATCCCTTTATGAACTTGATCCTAGAACGAACTGCACATGTTTAATGCCAAATGAATCCCTTAATGAACCTGATTCTAGTACGAACTGCACCTGTTTAATGCCAAATGAATCCCTT